CTTATGTGAATTTTAACCTGCCAGGTCCAGAACTCTATCCACAGTTGACTACATGGGAGTGCAGCGATGTAACCATTACACTATCTGCTGGTCCTCATGACGTGTTTTTCTATACAAAAATGCATCATGACTTTTCAACAACCCAATAGTTTCAGGGTTTTTTTTTAAGAGATTTTTGTTATAGGGCATGTGCGCCCCCTTGAGAGAGAGAGAGACTACAGAAAGCGAAAACCACCCCCAGGGTGGATGGCCATGCTGCAATCATGTCTCTGTTCTCCTCTTGGGATTTTGGGCCTGCACACTCATGCACCTGGTTTGAGGTGGTTTTTTTTTTTTGGGGGGGAGAGGTGTTTGCTATAGGGTGCATTCGCTTGCCAGAAAGGCAGAGACAGAGAAACAGAAAGCAAGAAATCACCCCCCACAGGGGGGATGGCCATGCCACAATCCCCTCTCCTCCGTTTTCCTCTTGGGACTTTGGGCACGCACGCACCCGGCATGAGTTTAAGCCACCGAGTCTGGGACTCCATTATGCTAACTGCTGGTTCTCCTGGTGTGAGTTTTAAGCCACTGGGTCTGGACTCAAACTGTGGTCAATTACGTGGGAGTCCACCGACATAACCATTACACCGTCTACTGGTTCCAAGTTTCATATATGTTTCTCGATACTCTGTGTATTCAGTCAAGCATTTTTATCTCCAATAAGAATATTTTTTCCCTAAGAAATCATAGTATATGTGTTGATTTGTTTCTGAAATTTCTTCTTTCACCTAACAATGTATTTAGTTGTTGGAAAAGTCATGATGAATTTTGCATAGAAAAAACATGTCATGACTTTTCTGACTACCTGGTAGCTTGGATATTTTTCCATACTGAAAGGTAGAGAGCACCTCTCCTGTTTAATGGGTATATAGTATTATGGGATTCAATTATTCTATTTCCTTTTTAAAAATTCATTGCCTTAGTTGTACTAGCTGTGTTGCAAATTTTCAGCAGTAATGTGGCCCGTGGCAACTGCAGTATAACACATACGTGGACCATTTTCACGTATGCAGAAAGTTCCACTAGACAGCACTTGATTTAAAGTTGTCTGAGGAGAATTATCACCTTAATAAAGAGTCCTATAAATTAATAGTTTCTTCCTCATTGTTATTTAGGAATTGAAAACACATCATGGCAATAAATTTAAATAAAATTAGGGAGGAGAAAAGTACCTTGATTTCTACTCCCTTCCGTAACGTACTTACTGTCCTTGTAAGGATGTAATTTTCCATACTTGTTCTCACTATGTTTGTATTATTATGTCGTACTTTTGTCATACGTGTATTAAACATTTATCGAATGAGTACATGTTTGTATTTGATACACACACCCATACACACATACAAACTCTTTTAAAAAAATTATTTAACTTTATTTATTTATTTATTTTTAATCTAACCAAGGAAGAGGGGGAAGAGAGAGAGAAAGTGAGAAAACAAGCCACCAAGTACAGGCACTGGAACTGTGGTCAGCATGTGGGAGTCCAGCGCTCTTAACCACCATGCAACCTGCTGGCTCTCACTGTTTTATCGAAAAACGTTATAATTACATGATCCTTCTCTAATTGCAGGGAGTTTGGGTCATTTCTTTTTTTACTGTCGATAATCTTTTTTTTAAATTTGTTGTTACTATTTAATTTGATTAGAGAAGGAGAGAGAGAGAGAGGAAGTGAGAGAGCAAGCCACCAGGTCTGAGATTTGAACCCTGACTGGCCATATGGGAGTCCAGCACCTTAACCAGCACACCACCTGCCGACCCCGAACTATTGATAATCTTTGTACAGATAGCTTTTATAAAAAATACTATTTTCAGGTCAGCCCCGCAGCACAGTGGTTAAGCTCTTTGAATAGGGAGTTGGATCCCACATGGCTAATTGTGGCTTGAATCCTGGCCCCATCAGCTTGAAAAACCTGTTGGGTATGTGTGCGCATGTGCCCGGAATCCTGGAGAAATGGAGGAACAGGGTTGCAGTGTGACCATGGCTAGTTGGGAGGTGCTTTTTCTATCTCTGGCAAGGGCATGTACCCTCTGGCACTAAAAAAAAATAAATATTATTTTCATATGATGCACTATTCAAAGTGAGGTTCTGAGACAAACTATTGTTTTCTCACTTCTGTTGCATACTGAGAGGTTTAAGTTTTGTTGGAAGGAAGGAAGCGACCTGCACAGGACTTACTGGAGAGAATAAGTGAGAAGACCCAGCTGTGGGGCCGGCTGGTACAAAAGCACTGAGGAAGAAAGGAGTTACCAAAAGACTTTAAGGATGAACGTGTTTTATGGGACCGTATTCTTGAAGTGTAGAAAAATCTTAGTTTCACTGGCGATATGAGTTCAGAGTTGAGACTAAGTGAAACGTTTTTTTTTTTCCCCCAGATGAGGCAGATGATGATGATGATCCAGAATATAATTTCCTGGAAGATCTTGATGAGCCGGACACAGAAGATTTCCGTACTGACCGAGCAGTGAGAATCACCAGTGAGTCTGTGTTCATTCTGAATCCTGTTCTTTGCTGCGCCACATCTACCTTTGTTTATTTTACAGAAGTACATTTTTAAAAATTATTTTTAAAAGGAATGTCTAACTTTTACTTATGCATCTTTTTGGGGTACAGTATGGTCTTCAAAGTTTGCATGCAGTGTGTTAAACAAATCAAAGATATTACCACATTGATTATCTCTAACAAGGAGCATTCATTGTGTTGTGTACCTTCAATTTTCAATTTTCTTTCTTATTACTTTTTAATTTGCTAGAGGTATGTTGGTCGCCAGAGGGGGGCAGGGACAGAGCAGAAAAGTGAGAAAGTGCCACCCACGATCATGCTGCAATCCTGTCCCCTGCGTTTCTCCCTCTTTTCGGGATTTTGGCCATGCACACACACACTGGACATGATGTTTCAAGCTGCTGCATCCGGGACTTGAACTGCGCAGTCATTCAGGTGTGATCCAGCCGCCTTAACCACCAGGCTGTGGACTAGCCCCAATTTTTGTTCTACTAGTTTATTTTGTTTTTCTTTTAGATAATATATGTAGATAAGATTGTCAACATCCCTTATCCCCCCAGTTTGTTGTGGTACGCTGTTCCATAATCTGTTCTCCTTATTTGCTTGCTTTGTGTCTGGGAGATGTTTTTTTCCTGAGCCCCTCCCAACTACCTTTCAGCCCTTCATATTTTGTAGATATTATTTTTTTAGAAGAATTATTTACTTGAGGCCAGCAGATGACATAGTGATTATATCTCTGGATGCTCACATAGCTGACTGTGGTTCGAGTCCAGGACCCAGTAGCTTTGAAATCATGCTGGGCACATGTATGTTCATGGCCAAGATCCTTGGAGGAGAAGGGATGGTGGTGGCCTGGCCATCCCCTCTAGGGGATGATTTCTCACTTTCCCTCTCACTGTCTCTGTCTCTTTCTCTCTGGCTAGTGTACGCACCCTAAAAACCTCTCAAAAAAAACAATTATTAATTTAATTTAATTTATCATCATTATTATTTTAAAACTTGCTGCAGGTTACATGCACTCACCAGAGAGAGAGAGAAAGTGAGAAAGCAAGCTGCCAGGTCCAGGATTCAAACTGTGGTTGGCCATGTGGGAGTCCAACACCTTTCACCACCATGCCACCTGCTGGCTCTTCTTCATAGATTTTTAAGGGTAAAGTTGCAGCCTATTCAAGTTAAGACCTTTACGTTTTGTCTGTCCATTTTTGTATAATTCTTTAAATTTAGCTGTATATTCAGAAAGAGTATTACTCATTTGTGTCCCACAGTCAGGTACTGACTTCTTTTGTTGGGGGCGGCACTTGGAGTACAATGTGATTACGACATGGCCTCGGTCCAGTAGGGAGTCAGGTTAGTGGGGGATTACAAACAGACAGAGTTAGAATATAAAGTGAGAAGTGCTATAATAGGTTTAGTATATAATTTACTCCTAAAAGAGGGTGTTATCCTTTAGCTTACACTGTGGAGCAGGAAGGAGGACTTTAGGAAGGAGTTGTGAGATGAAGTATTTTAGCTTTGCTGTAAGGAAGGAATAGAAGGTGTTTGGTGAATGGGGAGGGATATTGCACATAGAAGACCATCTATCTGTGAACTGTGTAACTGTGAAACAATAACAGAGAAGTATGCTTGGAAAATACTAAGTAGTTGATGCGTGTGTGTGAATGAGTGGTGGTAGAGATAAATAGCATTCAGATCATGAAAATCTTTGAGCTTTCGAAGAGTTTTAAGCAGGAAATCAATAGCAACTGATTTGAATTTTAGGTCACTTTTATTTATTTTTTCAAATTTTGCTATAGGGCACATGTGCTCTCCAGAAAAAGAGAGAGAAATCACCCCACAGGCGGGATGGCCATGCTATTAATCCCTTCTGAGAGAGAGAGAACATGAGAAAGCCTCCTCTGGGGGATGGCCACATCACAATCTCTTCTCCATTCTTTTCTTGTGATTTTAGGCACTCATGCACACATTCCCTGTGTGTTTCTCAAGCATCCAGGTTCAGGACTTGAACTGCTGGCCATATGGGATCTAGCTGCCTTCATCACCATGCCATTAGTTGACCTGATCACTTTGATTTAATTCCAGTTAAATTTATTGATTCGATTGGAAAAGAGAGCAAGATTGGAGGTGTGGAACGTAATTAATGGAGTAATTATTGGGTCGTTGGAAAAGTCATAACGCATTTTTGCATAAAGACGTATGCGTGACTTTCCCAACCAATATTATGACAGCTTGCCTTGAGTCGTTTGTTTAAGAATTGTGTCATTGGCTAGTGTGCCAGTTGTGGAGAACACACTTAAGACACCTTTGATCCTTACTGACTACATCCATTACTCTGAACTGGAGCAGTACACAGAGCAGAGAAGGTAAGATGTTGGCTCTGGACCAGATTATGGAGGGAGCTTTATAAACTCCTGGAAGTTATTTACTATATACCTAAGTAATATACCACTTTGTGTAAATAGAATTATATAAACACAGTCCTCTAAGACTGTTAATTTCATCCCTCATCTTTTTTTTTTTTTTTTTTTTTTCTAAGGGGACACTGTTT